ACCAACAAATCACCATGACAACCAGTTGCTCCCAGCTTCGAACAAGTTGCCTTGTTGCAAGAAATGCTTCAACCATACCTTTCTTTTGCTCAAAGAAGTTGCCTTTGTTGAATGGCTTGTAGTTGATAGAGAAAATATAGCCAGAGTGAAGCTGCGCCTTCAAGAACAATCCATCTGCAGCATGACCAATTGCCAGCTTGTAGTCTCTGACAACTCGTGGCAGGTGCAGCACTTTGTGAACCTCCATGTGCAGATTTCGTGGCAGGCGCAGCACTTTGTGAACCTCCATGTGCAGATGTCGTGGCAGGCGCAGCACTTTGTGAACCTCCATGTGCAGATTTCGCGGCAGGTGCAGCACTTTGTGAACCTCCATGTGCAGATGTCGTGGCAGGTGCAGCACTTTGTGAACCTCCATGTGCAGATTTCGTGGCAGGCGCAGTACTTTGTGAACCTCCATGTGCAGATTTCCTGGCAGGCACAGCACTTTGTGCACCTCCATGTGCAGATTTCGTGGCAGGCGCAGGACTTTGTGAACCTGCATGTGCAGATTTCGTGGCAGGCACAGCACTTTGTGCGCCTCCATGTGCAGATTTCGTCGCAGGTGCAGCGCTTTGTGAACCTCCATGTGCAGATTTCGTGGCAGGCACAACACTTTGTGTAGCTGACCATGGTTTGCAGGCGCTAGCTAGCAAGCCAGAGAGCCACTGGTGACTTTGTACTACAAATTGAGTACGCGGAGCAATCTGTGCAGCTAGAAGCTGAGAACTGGCGACTTTGTAGTACAACTTTAGTACGCGGATGAGTCATCTCTCGCTGCTGAGTCATCTCTCGCTGGTGAGTCATCTCTTGCTCCTGAGTCATCTCCCGCTGCTGAGTCATCTCTCGCTGCTGAGTCATCTCTCGCTGGTGAGTCATCTCTCGCTGCTGAGCCATCTCTCGCTGCTGAGTATCTGGGGAGCTGGAAAATGAGAACTGGCGACTTTGTAGTACAACTGTAAAGTACGCGGAGTATTTGGCAAGCTGGACAATGAAGACGTGATTTTGACTTTGAAAACACCACCCACTTCGCGTGCCCGCGCCAGCTGCACTTAACTTTCGCTTGCAGATGCCCAGTTGCTTCAGCACGCCGGTGTGGGCTGGTGATCTTGCTTTGGCATAGACACAACCCAGTGCGCTGTTGTGAGCTGCTGATCCTGCAGGGAGCGCAGATTTTGCACAGGTGGCGCTGTGTGTGTGTGTGCCAAAAGTCCGGAGCGCATGCGTTTGGCTCAGTGAGGGACACGAGGGACACGCATGGTGGAGAGAACGTGGACACTCCTATAGGTCAATTTCTTCTTATGGGAAACCTGCCGGCTTGCCCGGGAACTACTTGTAGTAAAAATTGGCACTTGCTCAAATAAACTGCAGGAGCATTCCCACTGGCGGTCAAGATCATGACTCCTGAGCTTCACACCCATGTCTTGACGCTGCAAATGGCCACCGGGCCCTTGTGGAGCTGGTATACGAGGCAGGTGACGGAGGTCAAAAACCAGTTCCACGCAATTGACTATGCCATCTCAATGGTGTTGCCATTGGAGGAGGAGAGGAACACCTGTGTGACCTTGCAAAGGTTCTTTGCAGTGAGGAGGTATCAAAGTTCAATTGTGAAAATGATTCCCTGTCAGCGCTCAAGATATTTGACTTGATTATGCAGTTGCTTGCGCGGCGGAGATGGTCATTGGCTGTTCGGCGTGCCCTGCCCCCAGAGCAATATGCTGGAGTGCTCTCTCCTGAGAATGAAGTTCGCAAGACATCCCTGCAGCTTTTGAGGAAGCGTCACGACTGCCTTCTGAAATGGGAGGATGATGTTGCCAATGATCTAAGTTTGAAGGAAAGTGTTGTTGCTCAGCAGCTCAAAGAAAATGTTTGCTTTGCAGTCAACCATCCGGCAAGACTTATGATGGATGCAATTGAAAGCATTGACTATGACCACAGGCGACTGCGAGGATATGGCCACAAGACCAGCGTGGTACTGGGGCAGAACCATAAAGAAGCTGGAGAACACTTGCTGCAGACATTGATCCAAACATTTCCTGACAACAAGATCGTTGAAGATGTTCACAATGCCTTGCGATTGGAAGCCAGGGCAAACAAACATAACAAATTGACGCCTTCAACCATGCAATCGGTTTGCATGAGCTCTGGAGTCCTTGAAAGCCGTTGCATTTCACACGAAGCTGAAGTAGCTGAGTCTGAGTTTATTCAGTCACTGGGCGAATCTGGAGGAGCCAAGGAAATTTACTGGTCAAAGGCGCGCGTGTTGCCTGAAGAATATATTACAATATATGGCGTGAAGTCATGGAGTGCATTTACAGAGGTCATTGGAAACAGCTGCAGCAGCTTGGGCCTGGCTCCAATTTCAGTCTCAGACCCTTTCGGTCTTTGGCAACCTGAAAGCCACTTCAGGAGTCTTCAGCAAAGTGGCCAGAAGGGGCCTTGTGTTTCAGTTGAAGGACCCCGTGTCATCACCACAGTTTTCTTTCGGTCATGCTGACTGGGGTGTGTTGATGTGGCCCCTTGAGTGGTATTCTTCTGATGATGAATACGAATACTACACTCTGAAATGCGACGCGGAAGCAAAGTGGGAATTTTTACACGAACCACAGGACTGGAAGGTGGTGGAAATGGAGCCTGTGTGGCAATCGAACATGATTTGTCTTCAGTGCAATCGATCTTCTTGGGAGAATCTGCTGGATGCCTTGCTGAAGGACCGAGCATATCCTGGCAACCTATATATATATATATATTTATTCATGCAATTTATTGCATACATGTATAACTTGCTCTTTTTTGGTAGTCAGGTATTGTGGATCATGGCAGAAGAAGTTGCTGGAGCAGCTGGCTGTGCAACATGGGGTAACTGGCTTGAAGAAGAACGATGCAATCGTGACCAAGTTGGCCCACCAGACCCACCCCAATGACCACGCTTTTAGGACCTGGTCAGCCAGGTTTGGTCATCGAAGCAGAACGAAGCAGCTCAGCCCAAGAAAACGTATTCAAGCGTGACCTGGGAAAAGATGTCGACCAAGATGTCCTGGAATATATTGATGAAGAAGAAAAGAAAGAGTTTAATCAGGTGAGAGAAGCTGCCAAGCGCAGAATCAAGGAAAGAGCAGCCATGCTTCATGATCAGATAGTAGAAGCTAGGGCTAAGCATGAACCCAAGGAAAGAAAGCCGGCGACAAAGTCAGGAAATCTACACTTCGAGGTTCACCAAGCGCCGCGCCTGCCGCGAAATCTGCGTCGGGAGGTTCACCAAGTGCTGCGCCTGCCACGAAGTCTGCACTTCGAGGTTCACCAGGTGCTGCGGCTGCCACGAAATCTGCGCGTCGAGGGTCACAGAATGCTGTGCCTGCCACGAAATCTGCGCGTCAAGCGTCACAGAATGCTGCACCTGCCACGAAATCTGCGCTTTGAGGTTCACAGGTGCTGTGCCTGCCACGATCCAGGGTCACAGAATGCTGTGCCTGCCACGAAATCTGCACATCGAGGGTCACAGAATGCTGTGCTTGCCACGAAATCTGCGCATCAAGGGTTATAGAGTGTTGTGCTTGCCACGAAATCTGCAAACGAGCCATATCCAAAAGTCACGATTCCCTGCGCCTGTTACGAAATCTGAGCTCCTCGATGATCACCAGCATGTCCAAAGTGCTGCGCCTGCCACGAAAACTGCCTTTCGAAGTAAAACAGCTCCGATCCCTTGCACCTGTCAAGAGCGCAGTCGCCGCAGTCGAAATGCACATTGACGATGTCGAGAGGCATGAATGCACTGTAAATAGCAGCGAATTGGCCGGACACTCCCGCGACGCACAGCGATCTAAGCACACCTGCTTTTCCCTTACCGTAAGAACCCCTCAGTGTGCCCACACTGTTTGGGGAGAAAAGTTTACTTACTTATATTAAAGCTGGACTACTTTCAAAAAATACTTGCAATCCCTGCCAGCACAGGGCTCTTCAGCCAAAACTTACTAGGTTCAAAAACTTTCAACGAGGCCAGGAGCGATTATCGTAAAGGAACCGTTTGTCCTTAGTACTTCTGTCATTGTGTTTTGTAAGTTGACTTCTCGCTAGACTTGTCAACTTATCGTAAAAGGAAATGTTGAACTTTCATTTTGTCTGCAAGTTCACTGCAACTTCACTCGTGGCTCCACTCGTGGACTTACTCGTGAAAACACTTTTGGTTCACTCATGCTGTTACTCGTTGGGGAATTTTGCTCAATATTATTTCTAATCATACTTGTGCCATGTTCACTCTTGTTTGAGTAATTCCTAATCATGTTAAATTGCATTTGTGACTTTTTTATGCTTATATAAATATGATTAAATATGATCAAAACGATTTCACGCAAAAAAAAGGACCAGCCAGAGTGCACCTGGAGGGTCAACTTCAATTTGCTGACTCTACCACCCGGGAACCCCCGGCTCACGTTGGAAAGGGTAAGTTTAACAAGCGCTTGAAGTCATGCAGGCAGAAAACAGTCTACAGGGAACGCCCTGTAACGCCCCAATTTTCTCGTGACGTTTTGTTTGAGTGTTGCCACTGTTTAGGACTCGGAGGAGTGGCTCGTCTAAGAACAGGGCAACCAGGGCATACCCCTTCACCCTCGGAGTGGCCGGGCGTCGAGGGACTCCAAGTAGGCGTGAATGTTTTTTTGGTCAATCATCTCGTTACCTGTTCTTGTTCCTTGAATCTCGTTATATTGACACATGCGCTGTGAAGTGGACAAAACGGTCTGCCCGGGAATCTATGTTTTATTTACTGTATTATAAAAGACATATGTGTACAACGGTTCTTGTTTGCGCTTCACTTTCTTTGTGCTGTTGCGGACACATGCGGCAAGGGCAATAGAAATGTACTGTATGCGAGAATCAGAAGTCCAAAGTGTGGAAGTTGGTAAATCTTGCCTTCGGGTTTGCGAGAGAAATCAATTTGCAAATTGACATCAGCAAATGTTTGTGCAATGCGCCTGAAGTCATTAATCAGTTTGTTGCTAGAAGAGACTGCCGCGCTTGAGGTTTTGCCTCTTGGCTTCACGATTTTATTCTTGTGGCTCTTTGGAAACTTGGCGGCTCCGAGTACAGCCTTGTCAGAAAATGTACAGGGCCCAGGCAGAGTTGGTGAAGCTGTTATGGGAGAGTGAGCATTTTGAGGAGCAGGTGTGAAGCAAGCAGAAACGAGTGGTGAGAATGTGGCAGGGCCTTCGCCAGCTAAGCGAAGAGGTGGCTAGGAAGTGCGAAGGTTAGTATGGCCAAAAATCATTGAATCCAAACCATCAGGATCCACGTGTGAACGTCTCGTCAACAGCGGCTTTTCGATGTAACCGAGTGGCAACCTGACTTTTCAAAACACACACATAAGGTTCTAATTCTTTGAATATTTCCAGTCACATTGTTTTTCAGCTCAGTGTCATGTGTCAGGTGTGCTGCATGTTTTTGGGTCCTAGACCCAAACCGCCAAGCAAAGATAACGTCCTGGAGCATCACGGGGCCATCCTGTGGTGTAGAATGCATTGTACAACGTCTTGTTCAAAAATCAAAGAAGGATCAGCAGATAGCCCTTGCCAAGCACTGGAATGCAATGCCATGCCCAGCACGATGCTTTGATCGACCTCGTTGGTTGGAGCTTACCAGTCCACAATATGGTCCAGAGTCCAGAGGCATAAGAAAATCTAGTGCCTGACGCAGAATGGACTGGTGTGACTGGCGTGAGTGACCCAGTTGAATGGTGGCCTGAGGAATCACCAGCTTTGTTGAGAATGGCAACTGGGCATCACTTGCGCGGGAATGAGGAAACTAATCTTGCACAGCTGCAAGATGGTACAGGAAACAGAGCCAAACAGTGACTCACTCTTGTGACTCAATCGTCCTTCAGCCTTCAAAGTTTTCTTCGCTTGTGTCAAGCCAGCATTTGAATGCAATGGTGTTCCGATGCAGTGTCTTCACTCTGTGAACAACCCAAAGTTTGGCTGTCAATCAAGGTGCACTGTTTGCCAGCTTTGTGGTCTTTGCAGGACAGTGTTTCAAATTTGCAACGAGTCTATTACACAGCATGAAATCATTGTTGTGGACTCATGCAGTGGGTATCTTGCCGCGGGCAAACACAAATCAAGGCTTTGGCAGCGCAAAGTTCCTCAATATTTCAAGTTGGGTTAATCATGGTCAGACTTGGCGTTGCAAGGATATGGCGTGGCAGTTGCTCCCTTCTCGTATTTGTATCTTGGCCTTATTGTGTCAAATTGAGACTGTGCAGTACGCATAAAGAGTCTTCAATGTTTGCTTGATGTTCTTTTTTGGATGCGATCATTTCTCAGGTTGTCGTTCCTCTTCGCCAAGCACACTTCTGCCCAGATCCTATCGCTTGTCCGGATCTTGGGTTCAGAACTTCTGATTTCAAAGAGATATGAACATTATAACATTGCTGAAGACAATTAAGAAACAAAAACACCGCCGTATGTTGGAGCTCGGGCTAAGGCCGTCACACACTGGGGAATGGGTCTTGAAGTTGGAGCGTTAGGACGATGACAAAGCCCAGAACCTCCTAAGCGTGCGTCCTTGAGCGCCCAAAGAACCGAGCAAAGGCGGCGACACCATCGAGCAATGCATTAGCCCTTCACGGCGTGTCCGGAACCTCCTGAGTATATGGCCTTGAAAAACCAAACGCTAAGTGAACTCCACGACACCATCGAGGGATGCATTTGTCCTTTACCAAGGGTTAAAACTTGCAGGTACGCCGAGCTGATCAGACTCGGTATCCCGTGATTGTGGTAGCTTCGTTGAGTGCGGTCCCACAATCACGCCGCACTCCCTTGCTTTCTACGATCGATACACAGCAAGTTCGAAGTCTTCCTCCACTTGTAACAGTTGACTAAGGTCAAGTTCAAAGTTCAAAACCAGCTCGGGTCTCCAACCGCATGCACACACACATGGCCCTCCCCGTGGAGGGCTCAGACTTCATGAGTGGGCCTATGCATCTGTGATTGTAGTGGCCTGAAAGTCCAACAGGCCGACGCCGAATGCGGTCCAAGCCGTTGGGTCTCGTTATCGTCCTTAGTTTGAAAGCCTCAGACACGCGTGCCTTGGTTCGATCGGAGCTCAAATGCAAGTCTGCAGAGAAACCCAAAGGATCCTGCTGGTCTTAAACGGAAGTGAGGCCAAAAGCTCAAATTCAAGTCGGCAGAGAAACCCGGGTCTTAAACAGAAGTGAGGCCAAAAGCTCAAGCGCAAGTCTGCAGAGAAACCCAAACGATCCTGGGGGTCTTGAAACGGAAGTGAGGCCGAAAGGTCAAGTGCAAGAGTGGGTCATGAGAGACATAAACGTAAGTAAAACTATCTGTTTTAGTTAGGACCCTGAGCTTGAGATCCGTGCAACGAGTGCAACGCACTGAAGTAATGAATCCCCTTGCTCTCAAAAGTCGATAAAATTTAAAGAAACGCGTCAACCACATGCAAGAGCGGGTTACACACGCACATGGCCCTCCCCGTGGAGGGCTCAGACTTCATGAGTGGGCCTATGCGCAACAGTGTCCCGAAATTCGCACAGGCCGACGCCGAACAAGGTCCAACCTGCTGGGTCTCGTGAGCATCCTTAGTTTGAAAAACCGCAGAAATGAGTGCCTTGGTGAGCTCAAGTGCAGGTCTGCAGAGAAAGCCCAAAAGATCCTGGGGGTCTTAAACGGAAGTGAGCTCAAGCGCAAGTCGGCAGAAAAACTCAAAGGATCCTGGGGGGCCTTGAACGGAAGTGAGGCCAAAAGCTCAAGTGCAAGTCTGCAAAGAAACCCAAAGGATCCTGGGGGTCATAAACGGGAGTGAGGCCAAAAACTCAAGTGCAAGTCTGCAGAGAAACCCAAAGGGTCCTGGGGGTCTTAAACGGAAGTGAGGCCAAAAGCTCAAGTGCAAGTCTGCAGAGAAACCTTAAGGATCCTCAGGGTCTTAAACGGAAATGAGGCCAAAAGCTCAAGTGCAAGGCTGTGCTTGAGATCCGGGCAAGGAGTGCAAAGCGCTGAAGTAATCAATCAAATCGACTTCTGCCGCTTTGCAACTGCGCTCGATAGCAACTTCTGCCGCTTTGCAACTGCGCTTGATTGCAGCTACATACAGTATGTCCAGAGACTGTGTTTTCTGCCTGCGAGCCACTAATCAGCGCCACTTTTGGCGTGCAGGATTCTGGTACCTCCAAATGATGACGAATGTCTTTTTTCGGGAAGGCCCGTGCCAACTATAGAGTCCCTCGACGGTGTCGCCAATTCTGGCATGCACCCTCTACACACTGGGGAATGGGTCTCGAAGTTGGAGCGTTAGGATGATGACAAAGCCCAGAACCTCCTAAGCGTGCGTCCTTGAGCGCCCGAAGAACCGAGCAAAGGCGGCGACGCCATCGAGCAATGCATTAGCCCTTTACGGCGTGCCCGGAACCTCCTAAGTGTATGTCCTTGAAAAACCAAACGCTAAGTGAACTCCACGACACCATCGAGCGATGCATTTGTCCTTTACCGAAGGTTAAAGCTTGCAGGTACGCCGAGTTGATCAGACTCGGTATCCCGTGATTGTGGTAGCTTCGTTGAGTGCGGTCCCACAATCACGCCGCACTTCCCTGCTTTCTACGATCGATGCACAGCAAGTTCGACGTCTTCCTCCACTTGTAACAGTTGACTAAGGTCAAGTTCAAAGTTCAAAATCAGCTCGGGTCTCCAACCGCATGTAAGAGCGGGCTACACACACACTGTATGTGTATCCAGCTAGCCTTTGTAAGACTGCAAGATGACAAGAGCTTGACAGCCACGGCTTGTGGGCTCAACATTCACTGCGAGTGTCTTGCGGCCACAATTTTGCAAGGTTTTTTTGCTCTATCTTGTCTATGCCTATGCGACTGCTGATCTGCTTAATCTCCACTAGGTCTTTGCTATGGATGTTTATTCAACCGTTAAATCCCCATGCGAGGCTGACACCTGCAGCGCTAAAAAAAGAGAGCTCGAAGTTACGCGGGTGTGGTTTTACGCGTTTTTGTTTTGTTTTTCTTAAATTTTGTCATGTTTTGAAAGAGTTTCCACGGTTGCGGTCTAGATATGTTCTTGCGCTCCTGTTTCCCAAACAAACCAATTTTTCTTTTTTTGTAACAACCTCTGGATCCGACTCTACCCTTCCTTGCCCATAAGCATTCTCATTGTTTCAAAGGTAGCACTTTTTGGGCTTCTCCCTCCACATTTTTTATGAAGTGGGCTTCTCCCTCCACATTCGAAATGGAGAGAAGATCATTATCTAGAAACACAATGTGCCTACCAGGCCCAACAAAAGTTGAGAAACTTGCTTTGCTTAGTTGTACTGGACCTGGATGACTGATTGGAATTGGGCTTTGCGTGGCCTTCTTGACGCCCATACCCATAACAAGCGAACCATTCTGCGAGCATTGTGAGTTAGTTCACATCCTATCCCACAAGTTCGATTAGATCAATCCTGCTCATCTCCACTGCTCTCACCCAATGGCTCTTCAGGTCTATGCTCCATATCCCCCCATCTACGACGAAATCTTCCAAAGAACGTTATGAAGCCCATGGAACGATCCAGCCATGGATACACTAAGGATCTGAATTGGCTGTGTGGCCACTACTCATTCCCAAGCTCATGAAGAACCTTCTCTGCACCCCAACCTTCTTGCCCACACATAGACATACGTGAAGTCAGGTTGTACCAAACCTGGCATGCTCAGCATGCTCCCAATGTTCACCCAACATTGCCAAGGACATTCTTTCTCGTGATGCTGCCCAAGCTCAAAACCTCATTGGACCTCACCAACGCCCACCCAAAAGTAAACCAATAAATTGTGCAAAAATTTGCTCTACCAATAGCATGAATCATGAGGATCAACCAATGTTGTACCCAAATGGTTCTGATCTTCCATTGGGCCACCTAACCACGCACGCAAACCCATTTGCGCCAGGCGTTCCATGGACCCCATCATTGATTGCCTAGCAAGTTTCCCTCTCACATGGTGCCCATGTGCTCCTGGAGGCCAAACAAACCCAATCGAAGCGCCATCCATATTGCGCTGCTGTCTGGGGCATTTGCTCAATGGCTTGTATAGCAATACGATTTGCTCAAAGTCAGGATCCCAATCGCTCATGCCCAGGTGTTGCGTCTATGCAGCCGCCTTTGGTCTCAGATGAAATTGCACACATACAGCCACAACCCCAACGCCAGCTGTTTGATGCGCCCAATGCTTCATCTCATCTCATCTCATCTCATCTCATCCCATCCCATCTCATCTCATCTCATCTCATCTCATCCACATTGGAAGTTCCATTTTCCTATGCTCACTAGCTATATGCCCATCTCTCTCTTTCTCTCTTTCATTGGATATCTTAAGCCATCAAATCAAGACACTCCTCCACACTCCACCATTGAGACCATACAGTATAGGTATTCACCCTCACCACATAGAGCCTGAATCCCCCATTCCTTCTCCATGTTCTGATGTGCAATGATCCAATTGGCATGGCTCTGATCTGTCAGATCTCTCATCAAGCTTTTGCAAAAGTACTAGCTGCTAGCTCTCATGATTCCCAGACAGAAGTCCATCAACCATCATCTATCAGCAAGTTCAGGACATCACATCATACATCATCAGATCATCACCTCTATGAGGGGATCTTGTCTCCAAGACCTCCAATCTCAATGAGTCCTCAATCTCCGGGCTCCTCCCCGGGGGTGCGAAAAAAAGACCCCCCCCCCCCCCGGGAGAAGCCCGGGCCCAGGCCCAGTTGCTGGAGATTGAGGATTCATTGAGATTGGAGGTCTTGGAGACTAGATTCCCCTCATAGAGGAGATGACCTGATGATGTATGATGTGATGTCGTGGAATTGCTGATAGATGATGGTTGATGGACTTCTGCGTGGGAATCATGAGAGCTAGTATTTTTGCAAAAGCTTGATGAGAAATCTGACAGATTACAAGTTGACATTTTTGCTAGACACGTTCTTCAAAACAACCAACAATTTCAAAAAACGCAGAAAACCACAAACCACAAAAGCGCGTAAAAACCACACCCGCATAACTTCGTTTTCTGAAAAATATACTTGCCAAATGAGATCCGTCCACAAACGTCGAAACCAAAAGCTGTTTGTCGGTAGGTCTTACATTGAGCGTACACTGACAACCGATGAGGAAAACCCAAGACCGATGTTTTGTATCAAACCGATAAGGTATGTAGTATGTTAGTATGTTAGTGATATTCATCAAAAATAGGAAACAAACGGATGAGGAGAACCCAAACCCGATGCCCTGTCCTAATGACTGCTGCCAAATGTAGGGAATTTCGGACAGAACTCAAATGCAGGTGTGCTTGTGTGACAGATATCAAGGTCCATAGAGATTACGTCCATGTGCGTCGCCAAGATACGGTGCACATCCACAATCCCCAGCTTTGACTTGGCAGCAGCGTGTCCAACCTACTAGCAATGGTCTCCAACCTAATTCCCAGCTGCCAAGTCAAAGCTGGGTGCACCAGACGACCTTTTTGTAGGTGGTTAGTTTGGAAACGAGCAACAGTTTTGACACGTGTACTGACGTGTACCCATTGCAAGCTTGGTAGGTTCAAGTGTTGACTCATGTAGAATGTGGTCGCCGACGTTTCGCGCTGCATCTTTTGTGACTAATTGGCAGGATATATTTTTTCCTTTCATGCGCATTATGTAAATGGGCACTTTGTGCTTTACATTAATTTCAGAGCCATTGCGCATGTTTTTCCAGCGAAACGGAGATGAATAGTGGCTCATCGATGACCCAGGTCTTGAACTTTTTCACGGGTCTCCTACTGATGCTGACATCCTACATTTTGAACTTGATCGAGAATACAAAGGCCATTTGGGGGAGGCCATCGCTAGTAGGTTGGAGGCCATCGTTATTTGGTTGGAGGCAATTGCTCTTTGAGTTGAACTAAAGAGTGCCAAGGATTCGGAGCCACAACCTCTTTAAGGATGCTACCATCCTCTCTTCCTTTTTTGTAAAAGGAGGTAGACACGCTACCAAAAGAGTGCCTTTGTTTGACATTTAAAATGAGACCCTTTCTGTTTCCTTTTCTCAGTGAGGGTGAGTGAGAACATCGGCGAAGAAGCTCGCTGGCAAACATAAGTCCAGAGCTCCACGTTCCAACCATTTGTCCATTTGCAAGCCAAACTTTGGCTCCTTGAATTTCTTCAGGATGTAAACGAATCATTGATGTGGATATACCGGCTTTTCCCCGGCTTTTGTCTGGGGCATGGCCTTTTCGAGCGCCTTGGCTTTTAGTTTTATCTCAATGTCATTCTCTGAAAAAGTTATCCCAAAACGATGCTTCACAGTTTCACACAGATTCACACATTCTTGAACAATTGGAATTGCTTGGTTCTCCAGCTGTCAGCTCAGGATTTGCACCAATTCAGTGATCTCTCGGCAGCTCCAAACAGAAGTAAAACTGCTCGAGTGGGATATTGCAGGCAAGGATGCATTGTTCCTGTGCGCCAACAATTTTTCCTGTTCCTCATAAGCAGCTTGTGCTACTTCATGCTTTGCTTTGAGCTCTTCAACGTCAACAGTTTGTTTCTTTCAAGGTACATTCTAGCGCCAACCTATTTCATTTTGACATTGCGTGACACTTAGCCTTTAGACAAAGGTATGGAGGTGCAAGTCGGCTTCCTTTGCGGGACACATTTTGTCCTTTGTGGCTATTCAGGTTTGGGTGTCCTCAACAGAAAAGGTAAATGTGAATAGTGCCAGAATATCTCTGCAGGGCTCAGATTCTCCTTCTCAAGGGTCGCATTCCAGCAACATTTTTTCCAAACAGTCTAAGTGTGCAGCTTATTAGAATCGTGCAACTTATTGCCACATCCCACCGCTTGCTGTAGTTTCAATCCATCCGAGGTTTCATTTTTTCACTTTATTTCCCAAGGCATCTCACAATCTCATCTTCAACAACTGTTTGGTTGACTATTCTCCTTAGATGTCACTCTGCTTGATACTGTGGTTTTTCTTCCTTCCGTCTCCTCTTGTCTCATGAATTGCTTCTCAATCCAGCTGACCTATTGAGGTAATTCTTTGTTTTTGTCGATGGTTTATTGCGAATGTAAGGTAAAAGCACTCACATGCTTGCGCAGGTGTAGTTCACTAAAGGTGACACGCACAATCGAGAAGTGTACGTGAAAGGCCGCCATTTCAGGGCCAAAAGAATCCGCATGGTAGCGGAGCCGAGGAACCTCATTGCTTAGGCTCTGAGGGGAGGCTCCAGGGATTCTTGGGGGGACAGGACCCACATCCCGGTTGGTGGCCCGGCGTCGCCCGCGCCGAAGCAATAGGTGCCTGGCTAGTGCTGGGCAGAGATCCAGCAGAGCTCGCAATCAGCGCTAGAGTCCATCTTGAAGTACAAGTTTGTCCCTTTGCCCGTGATCCCTACATCGACTAGGAGCCCATTGCCCTTGAAGCTGAGAGGGGTGAGTTCGAGCAGGCATGGCTGGTTTGGAAGGATCTCCATTGGCCGCATCCCCTACAAACAGTCAAGGAGGTGGAATGGTAGATGGCGCTGAGATCGCCAGAAGAATGGTCCAAGCTGTGGAAGCAGCAGGGGCGGCAGCCAAAGCGGCAGTGGACGCCGTGGCCAAGAAGCCAGAAGATCGAAATTGGCTTCGTGTCTTGCCAAAACCTCCCAACTTCGACCCACGATCCCGGGAGGAGGAGATGTCCCAATGGAGAGACTTTTCTTGGAGCCTGGAGCAATATCTCTCTTCCCTAGATTCCAACTTCATTGAGGACATCAAGGAGCTCAGGTCCAATCCAGGAAGAGAGATTGCAGTGGACCTCCCAGGTGATGAGGAACGGCAACGAAGCAGCTTCCTGTATGCCTTGCTGGCATCGCTTCTGCGCCAAAGGCCTCTTTCCCTGATCAAGCAGGTGAAGGATGCCTATCGAGTGCTCATCCAGAGCTTGGAACCAACCAGCAAAAACCGGTCCCTCGGACTTTTGACGATGATATTAGAATGGGGACAGTTCGACGTGAAGAAGGGGAGCATTTTGAACCAGTTGCTCAAGCTCGAGGAGGCCTATGCAGAATACGAGAAAACAGGAGCTCGTCTTGATGAGACCATCAAGTTTGCCACCCTTATGCGCTGTGTTGGAGGCCAGTTGAAGACATGGCTACAGCTACAGGTGGCTGAGACTCAGAGCTACAGTCGATTGAGAGAAGCGATTGTCCAGTACGACCATGCCACTACGAAATGGTCCAATGCCATGATCTTGAACCAGGACCCAACAGGACAAGTTCCCATGGAGATCGACCGCATCGCAGAGAAGGGCAAGGGCAAAGGCAAGACAAAAGGAAAGGATGGAGGACCTGGTAAAGGCAAGGGAAAGGGCGAGCAGAAGGGCGCCAAAGGTAAGGGCAAGTTCATGAACAAGGGCCACTCAGGTGGTAAGTCCAGCCAGAAAGGTCAGAAGGCCGATGGAAAGGGGAAGTCAAAGGAGAGCCCAGTGAAAACATGCTTCACGTGTGGTAAACCCGGGCACATGGCGAAGGACTGCTGGCGGGTTGTGAGGCAGGTTGAGTCCAGCCTCGACGATCAAGAGAATTTCAGAAGTTTCACAAGATGTTTCACAGGAATTCAACCAGTTGATGCTGATGGTGTTTGACCTCAGGTCAGTTGGTGAGGAAGAGGAGCATGTCAGGATGATCCAGTTGTTGATTCTGCCTCGTTTCTTGGAGTGGGAGCTGAGCTTGCTGAATCAGCCCCTCGTCTTCAGGATGCTCAGGGAGAGCATATACGAGTGAAGGGGTACAAGAATGTGTGCTTCTGCTTCAGGACGGAGCAGGGCAAGGAGATTCAGATCCACGAGAAAGCGCACTTTGCCGAGGGCATCAATCAGCCGATCATTTCCTTTGGGAAGATGATGCAAGCAGGATTGAAGGAGTTGGAAGATAGGGCCAAAGCTCAAAGTGGATGGGCAAGGTCTGGAGACAGGTGGGTTGGAGTCCACTTGGAAAAGAAGCGTCAAACTCCCCAGTATCACGGGGAGATTGACGCCACAGTGGGTTGGTTTCGAACGACCCTGATCAAGCAGCAAGGAAAGTGGCAGCTTGTGGAGCTCTGCGAGGCATTACATGGACTGGCAGAGCAGGAGGAGCTGATTGAGGAGGCAAAAAGGGAGAGAACGTTTTGACGATGACCATCCTGACAAGGGACACCCTCACCACAGAGGAGTTGGGATTTGAGGTGGACACAGGAATGGAGCTGGCAGCACCGCCAGTGGAGAGAAGTTGAGCTGCCAGTGGATGCTGGCCAAAAGGATGAGAGGGTTCATGATGAGCCTTTGAGAGAAGAAGGAGAAGAGCAGGAAGCGAGGTTAGTTGCAGGAGGAGCTATGCCGGGAAGCCTATTGGTCAATGGGATCGAGCTCACTCAGGAATCGAGGTTGAGCTACGAGCAGCATGCAGTTTTTACAACATCAGCACTTCAGGCAGCAAACTCAAATGCTACCAAGCCACATCAAGGAGCTGGAGTTGAAGGCAGCGGCGTCGGCAGTTGCAGCAGCCCAGATGGAGGTTGCTAGGAGACCGAGGCCACAACCTTTGGTGAAGGTTCCTTCGTAGGAAGAACAGTTCCTGCATGAGTTGATGCACACCCCATATCAGCCCTGGTGTGAGACATGTTTGATGCATCGTGGTCGACCAGACATTTGCGCACGGGACCAGCGAGACTCTCTGGCATTCCAATAACCAGCATGGCGCAAAGGCCGGAGAGATGGATCGACCAGCACCAGTGGCAGTGGAGGAAGATGGACGTGAGGTAGTAGATCTGCAACAGGAGCAAGGAGAGCAACGTGATCGGGACCTACCTGGAGGAGCTGAGGTGAGGTTCAAGGAAGTGAAGACAGCCCTGTGGTTGGTGCTGTCATGCAGTCAAAAAGGAGCGCTATGTGCAGTTCCTTTACAATCGAAAGGCCAACTGAGTCTCATGCGCCGAGAGACGATGACCTTCATCCAACACCTTGGCCATACAGAAGTGGGACTCTATGCAGACAATGAGCCGACAATGAGGGCCCTGCTACGTATCCTGTTGAACTCCCGTCATGCACTTGGGCTTCGTACAAGGATCTACACGACCCGGGTGAAGGACTCCACAGGCAATTCTCTGGCCGAGAACGCCATTCAGAGGATCAGAGGGTTGGCTGGTACTTTGATGGAATCCTTGATGAAAAGGGTTGGACTGAGGTTCAACAGCAACCACGCGCTGTGGAGCTGGGCTGCGCGTCATGCAGCTTGGACTTTGAACAGGTACCAAGCCAGCAGAGGTCATGTGAGTCACCGCTGGTTCCATTTGGTTGCCCAGTCTATGCTTACTTGAAGCCTTTGACTGGTAAGGGCAATCCGAAGTGGCGAATGGCAATCTTCCTAGGGAAGACAGAAGGCCAGGACGCATGGGTCGTGGGAGAAGGGCCGAATGTTCTGTTGACGAGGTCAGTGAGACGCATTGATAGGCCCTGGTCCAGGTTCACGACCTACTTCAGAGATTTCACTGCGCGCAGCTGGGAGTTTACATCGTGCCATCAAAGCGGGCAGTTGGGCCCATCCTTTGAACATGAGGAGAAGGAGTTTGCCAGCAGCTTGGGGCAACAGAGGAGGTTGTTTCAAGTGCCTTGGCAGCGGAAGGTGGAGTGCCAGCCCAAGAGCCCCGCAAGTAGAAGAGCAGAGTCCAGGATTGCCAACAACTCCACATCGCATCCTGGAGAGGAGGGCTCAGGTGAATTTGTTCCCATGGAAATACTCCCACTGCCATGGGCACTCAAGAGGAGAGAACCTTGAGGAAGACACCGCCTCCACCATCAGCAGTCAAGATCAAGCCGGAAGCAAAGAAACCTAGAGTTGAAAGCTCCAAGAAGCAAAAGGTTGAAAAAGAAGGCGCTACATCGTCGTCGAGCACTTCAAGGGCGGAAATGGTTGAGAGGCGAGTGGAGGAAGTGACCATTGAAGAGGAAACCATGTACCACTTAGATGAGGTGGTGGATGTGGAAACCCTGGCTATGGATGAAGAAGAAGAGGATGTGGAAAGCCTAGCACCAGGGGCAATTCCTGAAGCCTTATGGAGTGATGAACCCCTTAGCAGAACACCGCCGCAACCGCTACGCATGATTGAAGAGCTTGCAGATAGAATGGAGGAACAGAAATTGAAGAGAATGGGTGTGATTGCAGACCTGGGAACAGAGGATATGCTGTTGGACAAGCTTACAACAAAGTTTGTCAGAGATTGGCGCATCAAATCCAAGGTCAACGAGGACGGCGCAAAGGTCAAGAAGTGGTTGAGGAGATCACGCCTTGTGGCAAGGGAGTTTGCCAATGACAAGAGGGATGACGTCTATAGCCCAGCAAGTGGAAGCTACTCACTACGCCTGTTGCCCCTGATCTTTCTTACCATGAGGTCAATGGATCAGGAGCTGGACAATGGCAGTGGCAAAGCAGTTCTGGGTGCACTGGACGTGAAAGATGCCTTTCTACAAGTCCCTCAGGAAAGGCCACTCCAAATTTCAACAAGCATTGGAAGGTACAAGGTCCTGAGGAATCTGACAGCGGGTCGGTGCAAAGGCTTGGTTTGAGCATGTCCAACAACACCTGATCATGGACTTACTTTTGATGTGATCAATCCCTGCCTTGGGAGATGTGGAGAAGGAGGAGACAAGGTCTACGTGTTGATACATGTTGATGACATCATGTTTGCAGGACGATCCAAGGCAGTGGAGAAGTTCGTGGACAAGCTCAAGGCAAAGTTTGAAGTAGAGGTGTCGAGGGTGGAGGAAGATGGTCAGGAATTTTCCTTCCTCAAGCGCACCTACAAGCTGACGCCAGAAAGCCTGTTGGTCAAACCGGGCCAGTATGCAAGCAAGATGATCGCGCTGTTTGAGGATACCTATGGGAAGGTGAAAAGGCAGAGACTTCCAGCTTCAGCAGACATTCAAGATGCTGACAGCTCAAACTTGGTGGGACCCCAGGAAGCATCGACGTTTCGCTCAATCACTGGAATGGGTATCTATTTGGCCCAAGAAAGATTGGATATAGCCTACACCATCAAGGAGCTTGCAAGCAAGATGTCAAGCCCCACGGAGGTGGCAGTGCAGAGGATGCGCAAGCTGGTGGGCTATTTGAAGGAGACAGAACATCAACATATTCTGCTCCCAAATTCAATCAGAGGAGAAGGCATCAATACCCATGGAAGCCAAGGATGGATCCTCGAAACTTTCAGTGATGCAGATTGGTCAGGATGCAAAGCAACGAGGGGGGTCTACATCATCAGCAATACAGCAGCTCACGAGGACAGAAGACAATCAGCCTTAGTTCTGCTGAAAGTGAACTCAATGCACTGGTGGCAGCAGCCTGCGATGGGATTTGCTTGAAACACAGCCTGGAGTTCTTGACGCAGGAGGAGGTTGAGCACACATGCTGGGTTGACAATTCAGCCACCCGACAGATTGCGCGCAAGAGAGGCAGTGGAAAGCTACGCCACCTAAGTGGAAAGCTCCTGTGGTGCCAAGACAAGGTTGCAGATGGTAGCTTGTCAGTCCGCCAAGTCAGCGCAGCTATGAACATTGCGGACATTGGCACCAAGCCCCTGTCGAGAGCAAGGCTAGATCTATTGCTCTATTGGTGTAATGCCATGACAGGAGATGGACAGAGGGTTGGAGAGAAGCAATATGAGAGTTTCCAGGAGCAACACTTTGAAAAGGGCCGCATCATGAAGATGGCGAAGTTCCTCAACAGACTGGTAATGGTGGGCGGTCTTGAGCTGGCCGCGGGATCATGTGCAGCGCCGGAGATTGAAGAGGAGATTTCGTACTCTGATTGGAAGAGTTTGCTATTCTTCATTTTGCTGGCTATGGTGGTGATAAGTTTTACATGGATGTGGAAGAAGATCAAGCATCTCGAGTGGGCACTACGAAGGCTACAAGATGAGCTGGATGCGCAGAGGGCGGACTTTTCCAACAGTCTCCATGAGATGGAACTCACATGGAGCATGCAAATGGACTATACCCAGAGAATCCACCAAGGCTTGATCTATGTGGACGGCTATGTGCAGGAGGCATCCATCAAGCCTGGAGAGTGGGAAAAGTTGGAGTACATCGAGAAGATCAACAAACGCATTAGAGGAGCAACAAGAGAGCGGCAACAAGAGGAGGATGAACCAAGTCAGGGGATGATGATGATCGAGCAGGAGCAGAGCAGCCACTACTCTCAGGAGACACAGCGACAGTAGAGCTGGAAGACGGGAGAAGAGTGGAAATTCCAGTGGAGCATTTGACTCCACAGGAACAAGTGGTTGAACCAGAGCCCATACCAACGTCAGAACCTGAAGAAGCTGAAGATGAAACGATGAGTGATGCGGGCGCGCAGCCAGAAGGTGTGGAATGGAATCCTGAGCCGATCGAGATTCCAGAGCAGGACTACAAGTTCATGAATGACTTGTACAGAGCTCAAAGCTCGGAACGAGTTGAGTAGGATTGAAGCCTGCTGGTTCCACTATGCCAGAAAAGAAGATTAGCGCATGGAACGCAAATTGTACCCTCAGATGGAGGAGTGCTTTAAGCAGAAAGACTCAGAAGCTGAAGGAGGAGTGCGAATGTAAGGTAAAAGCACTCACATGCTTGCACAGGTGTAGTTCACTAAAGATGACACGCACAATCGAGAAGTGTACATGAAAGGCCGCAAAAAGGGCCAAAAGAATCCGCATTTATATATTTAACCCGTTTCGATGTGCGTCCATTCCTTTTTTCATCTTGCGGGGCATCCTTTTGCTTCTGCCCGGTTGCACCAAGCTAACTGAGCGTTGCCATGTAGTATCCCACTGCGCACATGTTGCTTCTGGCCCAGGTCCAGTAAAACGGGGTTCTGCAGGTGAACACTTCAGGAAACCTAAGTAGAGAACATGTGTCTAGGAAGCTACTCCTTACTATTACAGAACCGCCTGAGTAGAGAGTGCGTCCAAGCCTAGTCGTAATATGTCTTACTATAGCGGGGTGGCCTCTAAGCCTTAGGATTTACTATTTCTTATGTTTGTCTCTTGCTATTCAAGACGCTTCGCGTCGACAGCCGCCTACACCGCGCGCGAACATCCGAAGTTAGTGAAATGGAGCTTCATGGGGTGATGCTGTAATTAACGAGGTTTGTGATTCCTAAGTCAGAAGTGAAGGAGGGTCAGATGCGAAAAGAAAGAGGGAGTAAAAGTATTCCCCATGGGACCATGTCTGCAAATTTGTAAAGGCCTGTCTTAGGGCCGCTGCAAATTTCGCCCATGTCGCCCATGTCACCAAACTTCCGAAGGATTTTAAGGGCTGTCTTACAGGTGGGTTGGAGCCATCTTGGGGCCAACTTCGTCTACCTTGGAACCCATAATGACGCTAATTGGGATCAGCTTGGGTGAGACAACGTCGGCATTGAAGCTATCTGTCAGATTATGTTCGGCCCTCCCCCAGCAGGACCAGGATTTTAAGTGAGCTTTTGCGAACTATTTTGGCTCCAAATGGGGGACAAGTGCAGCCATCTAGGCGCCAGGTTGGTTGTCTTACGGCTGCGTTGGAGCCATCTTGGGGCCAACTTCGTCTACCTTGGGGCGCATAATGGTGATACAACTTCGGCATTGCCAAAAGCCATCCAAAAAAACACCTCCAAAACGCTGTCCCCAGTGGCCCTGCAGCCGAGGAAGAATGAATCAACGCAGCAACCGCCCCGAAACACAAAAACTATCAAACACTCCTCCAAAGCGCTCTCCCTAGTGGCCCTGCAAGCACGACGTAACGAAAAATCATCCAAGACAGTACTTCCAAACCGCTTTCCCCAGTGGCCCTGCAGCCCAACCATAGCCACGCGCGAAAAGAAAGGCCTCCCCTAGCAGAGCTAAAATGCAGAGCTCGACTGCAAGCGCCCCAATAGCACGCCCTGCACCGACAAGCGGTGTGGGCGGATTTTTTTTACTCCTTTTACCTATACGAAACGAGAACCTAAGGCTCATCGATTCCCTGGCCCATTCACCGCTGGCAGCATCTTGGCGCCATTTGGATCCTGCGGTGGAGCGCATAGACGTTCAGGTCTGGGCTTCGTGGCTTCCTTTTTGACAGGGCTGAACTGTTTCCTTGCAAAGAGCCCGGAACCAACACATGTTTGGAGTTTGATATTTATTTGAGTAATTTGAGCTAACACTTGCAGGATGATCCGGATGTGGCGGAGGAAGCGAAGCGCGTTGAGGATGGCCATAGCACCGAGGATGTGGTGCGCTTGGAGAAGCTAAGGAAGGTGCAAACGCTGTTGCATAAACAGACATCCGCAAGAAGGTTCCAAAGTCTCATAAAATTCGGACATACTCACAGCAACCCAAGCATTGCAAGACTCACAATAGGAAGTGACTGGCCTCTCATGATGGAAGCATCTTAAGATGAAACACCAGAATTGGAGAATCTGCATGGAGCATGAACGCATCCAGTACATGACACGCACACTTTTTTGAAATTAAGTTTGCCAGAAGGCTAAGAGACAGAGTAAGCGATGGCCTCCACCCTAGTAGCGATGGCCTCTAACCTAATGGCGATGACATCAAGCAGATCAATCTTCGTTTCTTCAGTAAACGCCTCACAGAGACCGTCCAGCCGTAGTTCAACCTCATCATCCGTCAGCCAGGTCTACCGAACACCTGAGGGAGCTCCGAAGGCATTGTGTTTCAGGGTGGCAGCATGATGCATAGGTGGTTTTCCACGAGGCTTTGCAGACGTGTCACTCGATTGGCATCAGCTAATACCATGTTGACATTAGTGTGCACCTGACGAACCATATAGTGTTCCTTGGGATAAACAGGTACAAAAAGAAAACAAGAAAAGGCACCTTTAGCAGCGCCCCCTAAACTTCTTATCTTCCTTTTTGTTTTTCGCCTTGGGTAGATATTTGAGTTCATGACACATGACAAACATCGAACCTTTTTCAAGCGCTTGGCCGAAGCGCACAGGTGGCAGTCCAAAGTCTGAGCTTCGGCCTGGCTTTGGGCGAATGTTTTGCTTTTCTTGGCACGAACGGTGTTGCCTGGCGACAGAGCTGCTTTTCATGGAAGATCACCAGTCCGATTCCTGTCAATTCTAAAACTGTGGACAACACATTAACCCAGTATGTAGACATAGATGTCCAATAATTTTTTCAAGGATACAGGATACATGTGTGACGAAGTATTTTGCCTCCATTAGCTATGGCTGTTGAGTCCTTCCAATCGCATTTTTGGCTTCCGAAGACACTCGGCTCCAGCAATGCCATTCACTCCTGTGGTCACAGGCGCAGAACAGGGTTTAGCACTTGGGAATCTACGAACAGAGACAAAGAGAGAGAGAGAGAGGGAGAGAGAGAGAGATAGAGAGAGGTGCAAAAGTCCAGGATGCTATTTCACTCTGTTGATGCGATGCAGCGCAGCTGGCACATTCAGTATATGACGGCGTATTCATACATAAATTAATTCTACGATTTCATATAGAGTTGAGTATGTGAAGTCCGGAGATGCTAGCCTATCAAAGCAGTTTTGTGGTGCCGATGCTGTGCAGACAGGGTAGTGTCATGATTCATACTAATGCAGTACTGCCAGTCGGGCGGATCTTTGTTGATACATTTTGTCAAGGTCCTCACCAGACAATGATGGGTCGACTTTCTGTGTCCTGAATGAACAATGTATTTTTAGCCCAGTGTGCGCGTTTTGACCCTCCAGTCCTTGATGCTAGGTTCTTTCCTGATGTGCCCTCTGCATAAATCCTTATGATGACGTTTTGATCTGGCAAAGCTTTCCTGACAAAGCCTTGCAAAAGTCCTTGTTGCTCCTGTGCCAACGGCTTAAAATTCAGATTCGGCTCATGGCAATGTCACTACTGGTCGTTCTTTTGATCCAAGACAGTTTTGCAAATTCAACACCCGATGTTGGCTTTGATTGTTGTGGGATCCTGTTCGATTTGTATTTATGTATATAAATATGTATATATATATTATTATATACAGTAGATAGATGTTGAGGGCTAGAGGCGATGATTCTTCATCTCTCCCTCACTCACTCTCTCTCTCTCTATATATATATTATTTGGTTGGTTTGAGGTTAAATGCTAGCCTTACGCCGAAATGGGACTGGCTTTCCTGCAAGATACCTGATGAGATGCTTCTGGCGCTCCTTGTCCTTTATGCTTGATTCCAGATCCTACATGCGCAAGGCCATGCCAGGGTGGGCGTAGGAAGGCTGCTGCAGCTTCCTACAGGCTATGTTGGCGTATGTTGGCTCCACGTTGGCTCTATGTTGAGCCATCTTGGAGGCTATGTTGGGGATATGTTGGCTATCTTGTGCCTATGTTGGGGATATGTTAGGCAATTTATGTTGAAAAACAATTTCCGATACAACTTTTTACGATTTTTCCTTCCCGCAAAGCAAAAGAACTGGAAAAACCTACATTTTTCAACATCGCCAAGATGAAATTCTCGGCCGCCGAGGGGCCCAAAGCCCTGTAAAAAAACGATGTTTTTGAACATCGCACGCAAAAAACACCGTAAATTACAGGGACTTCAGTGACCCCGAGGTGGGGGGAAGTGGGAAGGGGGTCCCCCCGTTTTGGTGTCGAGGGTCGGCGGCAGGGGGCGCGCGCTCCGTGGCCGACGCCCGGATTAAAGGCTTACGCCTAACAGCCGGGCGCCGGCCCACTTGGGTCTGTGGGGCGTATGTCACGCCGCATGGAAGGGGACAATATTTCCACCGAACATAGCCCCGGAAGTGATCCCCTCCCGGTCATGTTTCGAGATAGGGATTTGCTCAATGTAGTTGGGGGGTTAAAAGACTGCTACCGGCAGTAAGGAACACGATCTGGAAGGGGGTCTTGTGCTCTTGGAGCCAAGGGAGTCAGTATGAAAGGAAGATAGGGACTTGAACGTCGCAAATCGAGGTATCTCTTCTCAAGGTAGCTCAAGATCGCGCAATTCGGCTCAATAGGAGCAGAGATAAGCAGAGATAAGGTCAAGTAACGGTAACGGTTGTCCTAACGTGGCCCGACATAGTTTCCATATTGTCGAACATAGCCCCAGAACGGCCCCCCCCCCCAATGTTTACGATGTTGCCGTTCCGGAACGTGATCTCTGCTTATCTCTGCTCCTGCGGAGCCAAATAGCACTTCTAAAGCTATGTCAGGCAATATGGAAGTCCCTATCTCGCAGACACGTCCTTTAGATAGTGACTTCTAGGGCTATGTTCACTCTATTCCAGTCCCTTTTGAGCCGTCGTTGGGCCATGTTTACGACGTTCAAGTGCCTATCTCGGGGAAGCATACTCGAGATAGTGACTGCAGGGGTTATGTTCGACCATATGGGAGCTATGCTCGTAAGATAGTGTTGCCGTTCCTAGACCTGATCTGCACACACTTAAGATAGTGCCTTTGGGGGCTATGTTCGATCATACAGAAGCTATGCTCGGGAGAAAATGTTACCATTCCTGATACCCGGACGTTCAAGTCCCTATCTCGCAGACACGTCCGTTAGATACTAGTGACTTCTGGGGCTATGTTCGATCGTATGCACGCTCTGCTTGCGCGAAAATGTTACCGTTCCGGAACTGGATCTCTGTTTATCTTTGCTCCTGTGGAGCCAAATATCACTTCTAATGCTATGCCAGGCAATATGGAAGCTATGTTTGGCCACGTTAGGGGGGGTTGTATTCCAGTTTACGACGTTCAAGTCCCTATCTCGCAGACACGTCCTTTAGATAGTGACTTCTAGGGCTCTGTTAGGCAATATCTTCACTCTATTCCAGTCCCTTTGGAGCCTTCGTTGGACCATGTTTACGACGTTCAAGTACCTATCTCGGGGAAGCATACTTGAGATAGTGACTTTTGGGGTTATGTTCGACCATATGGGAGCTATGCTCGTGAGATAATGTTACCGTTCCTGGACCTGATCTGCTTATCTCTGCTCCTGACCAGCCACGTACCCGGACGTTCAAGTCCCTATCTCGCAGACACGTCCGTTAGATAGTGACTTCTAGGGCTATGTTACGTACCGCTCAGATGATTCAGATGATGCAGATGATGCAAAGCAGAAAATTGCATTTCTTGCATCAAGATAGCAAGCATTAGCACGAATTTATCTTCCAGCACTTTAAGCCAGTTCCAAAAACGTGAAAAACACAGGATTCTAGAGCGAAAATGCCCCCCCCTAGCTAAAGCTATCAGTACTACTTGCGCTACTTGCGGTATAATGCGTGCCCTATAAAACGCCTCAGCACCTTCGGTGCGGGCGGATTTGGTGCGCATCTTCGCCCTAGGTTGGGCCAAGTTGGGCCCACGTGGTCAATGTTGGGCACATCTTGTGCCCATGTTGACCCTATGTTGTGCCTATGTTGGCCTATGTTAGGCGTATGTTGGCCTACGTTGGCCTAGGTTGGGCCGACGTTGGGCCTGTGTTGGCGTATGTTGGCCCCATGTTGTCCCTATGTTGAGCCATCTTGGAGGCTATGTTGGGCAGATGTTGGGGATATGTTGGCTATCTTGTGCCTATGTTGGGGATATGTTAGACGATTTCTAGTGAAAAAATCTTCCGACACATTTTTGGACGATTCTTCCTTCCCGCAAAGCAAAAACCTTGGAAAAACCTACGTTTTTTGACATCGCCAAGATGAAATTCTCGGCCGCCAAGGGGCCCAAAACCCTGTAAAACATAGTGTTTTTTAGACCTCACACACACACGAAACACTGTAAATTGCAGTGAACCGGACGTCCGCCCGTTTTTCGGGGCGGGGGGCGGGGGGGGGGGGGGGGGCGAGCGTCTATAACCTTCGGTTACCACCGAAGGCCTCCGGCGAGGACACGGGCGTGTGGCCGGCGCCCGGATTTGAAGGCTTACGCCTAACAGCCGGGCGCTGGCCCACTTGGGTCTGCAGGGCGTATGTCACGCCTATGTTGGCCTTGGTGGCCTATATTGAGCAAAGTTAAGCTATCTGGTGCGCATCTTCGCCCTAGGTTGGACCAAGTGGGGCCCATGTGGTCTGTGTTGGGCACATCTTGCGCCCATGTTGAGCCTATGTTGGGCCTATGTTGGCCTGTGTTAGGCCCATGTTGGCCTAGGTTGGGCCTATGTTGGCGTATGTTGGCCCCATGTTGGCCTATGTTGGCTCTATGTTGAGCCATCTTGGAGGCGATGTTGGGCATATGTTGGGGATATGTTGGCTATCTTGGGCCTATATGTTAGGCAATTTATGTCGAAAAAATCTTCCGAGACAGCTTTTTACGATTTTCTTTCCCGCAAAGCAAAAACACTAGAAAAACATGCATGCATATTTTAACATCGCCAAGATGAAATTCTCGGCCGCCAAGGGGCCCAAAACCCTATAAAACACAGTGTTTTTTATACCTCACACACACGATACACTGTAAGTTACAGGGGCTTCAGTGAACCGGAAGTGACGAGGGGGTCCCCCCATTTTGGTGTCGAGGGTCGGCGGCAGGGGGCGCGCCCATATATAACCTTCGGTTACCACCGAAGGCCTCTGGCGAGGACACGGGCGCGTGGCCGGCGCCCGGATTTAAAGGCTTACGCGTAACAGCCGGGCGCCGGCGCACTAGGGTCTGTGTAGGGCTGGGTCGGGTGCGCGCGCAGCTATCGGGGGCGTACAGGGCCCTGGGTGGGGGCAAGGTGGGAAACTGCTCGGCGTTGGAGACGGGGGCCGGGGTCTGCAGCACAAGTTAAGCTATCTGGCGCGCATCTTGGCCCTAAGTTGGGCCAAGTTGGGCTCATGTGGTCTATGTTGGGCCTATGTTGGCCTACGTTAGGCCTATGTTGGCTTAGGTTGGGCCTATGTTGGGCCTATGTTGGCGTATGTTGGCCCCATGTTGGCCTATGTTGGCCCTATGTTGAGCCATCTTCGAGGCTATGTTGGGCATATGTTGGGGATATGTTGGCTATCTTGGGCCTATGTTGGGGATATGTCAGGCAATTGAAATCGGAAGGCCTCTACCCACAAAATGTCGATTATGCTTGTCCGCCCGGCGCGCATTACCGACACCACCCTTGAAA